TGTGCGCAACAAAATTAGGTTTCATAAAAAAGAAAAGAAAAAAAAAACAATTTACATATTGCAATTTAAAACTTTACGTTTTGGGGACATAGCAGAAAAACGGCACAGCATTATTCAACCCTTTGAATGCTGTATTATTATAAGACACGAGTAACATTTATAATAAGCAATAAAAATCAATACTATTTAAATGTTTAAAAATTTTATCAGTTGAAATCACAAACAAAAGTTTAATGAAAATGATAAATTACTTACTTCACTGCATTATTAATCCACAGTTTCAAATGCAAATGTAAATAAGATAATGGTTGAAAAGCTTTGCTGTCGCAGCACAGCGCCACGGGACAGTACACGGCATGTTCCGCACGCACAATTTCATCCTGACATCATTGCTTAGAAAATCTCGTTTTCCCGAGAATGAGGGGAAAAATCAAATATTCCCTTTCATAAGGATTGGAATGGTTTTCATTTGGAATCACGCGGCCGGGTACATATGCCCCTCATTCAAAAGCCAGAGATATGAAAAAATCGAGGTACAAATGAGGTATAAACAAGGTATATTTTAAAGGTATAAAGGAGGTTGTTATTTATTTACGTCGTTAGGTTGAAAAGGGTGCAAATGAATACCTCAATATCAACCTCAAATATACCTTTAATATACTTCCAGAGGTATATATGTTTCAACCTGAGGTGTTTAATTTTACCTCTGTGGAGAGGTAGATATTTACTACTTTAAGGTGTTTTATTTTCAACCTTAGGCTATTACTTAGTAACCTGTAGTATATTTTTTTACGCTTGTAGAAGTAATTATTCAACAACCTAAGGTGTTTCATTTAACACTTCAGGTTAATATAAATTTACCTCATGTGTATTTTTTGACAGTTGGAAAGATAATTTCTTACTAACGTGAAGTGTATTATGTCCGACCTCAGGTAATTATTTTCAACCTCAAGTATCTAATTTTATGCTTGTAGAGATATTTATTTATTAACCTATATGTCGTTTTATACTTCAGGTTATTATAAATCTACCTCAGGTTTATTTTTTAAAAGTTGGAAAGGTAATATTTTACTAACGTGAGGAGTATTAAGTTCGACCTCTGGTAATAATTTTTCAACCTCAAGTGTAGATTTTTATGCTTGTAAAGGTATTTATTTATCAACCTATGGTTTGCCGTTTTATACTTCAGGTTGTTATAAATCAACCTCAAGTGCATTTTTCGACAGTTGGATAGCTTGATTTTTATGAACGTGAGGTGTTCGATGTTCTACTTTAGGTTGTTATTTTTTAACCTCAGGTATAGATTTATATAGTTGTTGAGGTATTTATTTACCTCCCTAAGGTGTGCCATTTTACACTTCTGGTTGTTATAAATCAACCTCAAGTGAATTTTCGTCACTTGGAAAGGTTATCTTTTGTTAACGTTATGTGTTCCATGCTCTACTTTAGGTTATGTTATTATTTTGTAACCTCAAGTATATATTTTTGTATTTTTAGAAATATTAATTTATCAACCTAAGATGCGACATTTTACACTTCAGGCTTATGTATCTCAACCTAAAGCTGTTTTTTTAGTACTTACGAGGGTAATAATTCCCAATCTTGATGTGTTAAACGCTCCACCTAGTTTATTAATTTTTAACCTCACTGTATAAAAAATATAACATATATAAAGATATTATATATATTATGTGAAGAATAATGTATATCATCACATTTTTTCAGCATATAACTTGAAATTGTCTGTCGACAACTTTTCCATAGTTACTGGAATGACGCTCTCGTCTGCTCCTGAATCCACTAAAAACCTCATTCTTGTGTTTTTATCTCGTACAAGTAAATGAAATTTGTGGCGAGAAATGTTTCCTTCAGCAGCAGAGTTTACAACTAGTTCTACTGCTCTTTGGAGTTTCTCGTATTCCAAATGCACGGTTGGAGGCATTTGTCAGCATGGCAGTGGTCGCCAAACATAAAATGGTAATAGCAATATTTTCCTTTTTCATTGAATCGCTTCTTCCAATTTTGGCTTTTTGATCGGGAATGTACAAAATCTGGATTTTCTGCATCTTTAAATGTTGCTCTTGATGAATGAATGCACCTTAATTTCGAAATTTGTACTTCTAATGATTTGATTCGCTCTAAAAGCTCATCGTTTGAACCGAAACAATGACATCGCTCTTGAGTTGCTAATTTCTTTACACCAAAAATTTCAGTCCTTGAGCTCTTATTATTTATTTTTTCTATAATTTCGGCGAGTTATGAAATATTTTCTTCATTTACAAATCATATGTTTCTAATGAAATCGGACAATTTTTCAGGCCAAAGAGTTCTAAATAAATTTTCTGAGATATCCGACGTTGCAATTGATTTTAGTTTCTGAAGAAGCTGGCTTAGTTTCATATCGCCAAGTTCAATCCCGCTAATAACTCTGCGTATTTTAACATTTTCACTTTCTTCAACTAGGTTTAGAAACCTATCTTTGGAGTTTGCATATTTTGTTTTACTTTCATCACTAATTATTTCCCAGATATTTTTTATGTATTTTGGTTCCAATTGATATTTAAACTTTGTTTTTTCTGATGCTATACTACTTATTTTAGACTGCGCTTCAACTTAATTGAGCCATATTTCCGGTTTATATATCCAAATTGGAGGAATTTTTGCACTTACTTTGTGTCACTCCTGAAGGCTATCTTTTTTCTCTTATCGCTATCATCTCTAAGGGCATCATCTTCTACGGGTCACCAAATTGTAGGGTTCCTATGTGAAGGCGTATACAGAGTACAAAGGACAATTTAACAAAACAACTTGTACTTACATATTTACAACTTGCTTATAAATGAAATACAATTTTTATCACAACAAAAGAAGCTTTTTAAATAATCTTAATTCTATTATTGTATCACTGAGTTGAATAATCTTAATTCTATTATTGTATCACTGCCACTGACTGAGTTGAAAACTTTAAAAATTAAAATAAAATTAAACAAATCATGCTTATGTCTACTCTACACATATAATTTTTCGAATTCGATGGGTACAAATCTTTGCGGATCTGTCAAAGGACTCAATTTTAAATGCCACTGTGACTGTGAACTGGAAAGAATTGCTTATTTAGAGTAACGTATAACCAATATTTAAGCTGGCCATTATGAATAGTAGACAATTCATCTCTTTGGTCACATAAAAATGTAGGCTAGTAAGACAATGATGTTATTTCAAAGACTGGAAACATATTTTGATGTACTTAATTCCTTAGAGGAAATGAAAGAGCATTAAACACTTGACGAAATTACAAGTATTTGCTAACAGTAGAGAAGATGCGGGGATTCCAGGACAGTGATATCCTGTGGTGCTGAGTTGAGTTGCTTGCGTCCTGCTGCCGAGCTGGGTTGAGTTGATTGCCCACTGTTTTAGTTTTGGTTTCGGTTTCCGAAATTTGTTACTTCCTGTGGCAACAGTGATTGAGTTTTAGTTTCGGTTCCCAGATTTTTTAACTTCCGGTGGCAGCACATGAGTCAGTTTCGGTTTTTCAAAATTTCTGAATTTCGAAGGCAACAAGTTTAATTTCGGTTTACACAAAAAAAATGCGTTAAATTTTGTAATAGCTTAAAATTAAAGCTCCAAATTGACGGTGGCAACACCTAAATTAATTTTTTTCGAATGGCACTACATTATTTTAAGTGGCTCCAGCTCATGTCGCCACCTGGTGAGTGAAATATGTATTACTTTCAAATATTCTAATTTTCCAACTCATTACAGTGCTGCCATCTACTGAATTAAATAATTTATAATATTTATTTAGAAATGATGCATTAATAATGGCGCCAACTAGTGAATAAAATGGATAACGAAAGTAAAAAAAAAATTAAAAATCCTACAAAATGAAAATAAATAATGATATTTAATTTAGGATTTGAACTCACAACCTCAGAACAAAATGCTTCCATTGGATACTGATTTGTCAGGCACGCTAACCAGTATTCAATGGACGTATACAGTACAGAGGAAAACTTATGATTTCAGTGAAATAAATTTAAACTCGCAGGCGGTTAAATCTTAGTTACATTTTTTCGTTGATCTCGCAATGACAGCTACCTATTTCTGCCCCCATTGCGAACTGATCGAATTTAGACTTAGTTTCGATTATGTTCAATTTAAATTCTTGATTTAATTTTTGTGTTTGATGTTTTGCTTTTGTTTCTGTATTTTGTATATTTCATCTCTATCTGTATTTGTATTTTTCTTTTCTTTTGATCTCTGTACGGCGTTAGGATAATGTCTGTATCGCCTGCTGCACTGGAAATAAAAAAAAGTTTCGATTATAACATTAATTTAGAGCGTTGGCAACAATTTTATTTAATCTATGAGTTAATTAATCTATTACGCAATTTCACTAATGAGCAATAATGAATATGATATTAGCAATGAATGGTTGTTAGTAGTTAAACTGTCAGACGTCTTTGGTTGCGTCAAATTTTTAGCTTTTGCTATTTTGCAAGAGTTCGAACACGTATTAATATAGATATTTTAGAAACATAAATTTTGTTTTTATGAAAAAATTATTATCTTATTAAAAACCTAATATATAATATATCTATAGTATTTATTAAATCATATTTTTAATAACATTAATAAACTTGTTTCATCTTTAGACTTATTTTATTAACTGAAATAATTCAATTATTATATTAAAATACAAAAATACTTATTTTTTATTCTTATGAAAAATATATTTGAATTAATTTCATTTTCTGATAGATAATATTATTAGAAAAATTATTAGATTAATATTATTAGAGTTTTCTGATTCACTATACACTCCCGCACATTATCACTTATTTTTGATCTGAATACTATTTCAGTTATAAGCAGGATTATTTTTCACTACTTTGTACGTTAAAAATTTAATATAGTTCTATATCGATTTATGGAAAATTAATATTATTCAAAATAAAAGATACTATTCAAGCTATATTATATGAAATTACATTATTTTATCTCTTCTATTAATATCGTTTTATCATATCAATTAATATTATTTTACATTACGATATTAATCAATATTATCTCATCAATCATCTCATATGAGTTAAATGAAAACGCATTAACAACGCGATTATATAAGTTAATGATGTTTTTGAAAAATATTTTCAGTGAGTACATACAATGACTAATAAACTGCAACTGTATGCGTATGCTTAGGATATCATCAATTATCTTTGAACCTAATCTTTTCATCTAAATTGCAATTGGCACGATATTCCAATTATGCCTCCTATTGTTTGTGATGGCGCGGAGATCAAGGGTAAATGTAATGAGAGTATAAATATGGGGAGAGTTCGCGAAAATAAAAGAAAGACGGGTTTTTTTTGGTAGAAGACTGGCACTCTGAGAAATTATTGTTTGGCAATATTACTCCAGTTTATCCAGTTTACAAACTAAACATATTTCAGTTTTGAATATTAAAAGTTGAGTAAAAATGTGGCTGACTGTATTTATAGTAGCATCATTAGCCAGTATAGCTTTAAGTAGGAATGCATCAAATACTATTATACCCATAGAATCTCTGTATCCTGACGATGCTTATAACCACAGTAAGTATATTCAAAAAATTTAAATGTAAACCATATTTATTGCATGATTTTTAGTTCAAAAATATTTAAATTATGGTTTTATGGCAGATGTTCAAACTAGCTTTTGTATGGATGATAAAAGTTAATTTCTGAAGATTAAATATTACTATCATGTTAATTAACCTTTAAGTTGCGGCTAGACGGGTGAAAAAATTTTCCTCTGGATACGGCCCATTTTTGCAGAAATTCCTCCCCCACTTAGTCAGTGGGAGGTAACTACTTTAACCAGATATGAATAGGAAACGTTTTGTTGTAATTTGTATGCCACGTTTCTTGCAGGCAGAAGTTGCAGAGTTGTAACGTGCATCGTTATCGGCTGTTACTTTGGCTTAGTCATGCATACTTTGGCATGTTTTAGTGATGTTTAACACATTATGAGAAAAAGTTAAAATATAAACTCTTAATTAATTTTACATAATAAAATGATATTTTCTTTTATGCAATTTTCTAATAGAGCATTTTTTGAAGTTTCATTCTCATCTTAAAATCATAAACACATTANTGTATCCGGACGATGCTTATAACCACAGTAAGTAAATTAAAAAAATTTGAATGTAAACCATATTTATTGCATGATTTTTAGTTTAAAAATATTTAAATTATGGTTTTGCAGATGTTCAAACTAGCTTTTGTATGGATGATAAAAGTTAATGTCTGAAGATTTATTATTACTATCATGTTAATTAAATTTATTGCAATAATATAAGTATACATTCCAATCAAGCCGAATTCTTTTTAATATTTTTAGCATTTTAGGAATACGTTTTGTTGTAATTTGTATGCCACGTTTCTTGCAGGCAGAAGTTGCAGAGTTGTAACGTGCATCGTTATCGGCTGTTACTTTGGCTTAGTCATGCATACTTTGGCATGTTTTAGTGATGTTTAACACATTATGAGAAAAAGTTAAAATATAACTCTTAATTAATTTTACATAATAAAATGATATTTTCTTTTATGTAATTTTCTAATAGAGCATTTTTTGAAGTTTCATTCTCATCTTAAAATCATAAACACATTAATTATAATAAATAATTTTAAAAAACAAATTTTTGAAACTTCTAACGATGAACGTTGTAACTCTTTTCTACTAAATTTTATTCGTATAAGCGGGTTATTCGATTATCCGATATGCAATTAAGTGGGGACGACTGTATGTTCAAAGAAGAAAAATTACCATTGTCTATCTTTTTTACAACAAATATATTATACAGTAAAGTAATTTAAAACGCTTCTATTTAGCTTATATTTGAGCCCCATATTGAAAGAAAAAAAATCCTGTTTCATTTTAAAATTATGTTTTGAAATATTATTTAATTTTATAAAACAATAAATGCAAAATAATAATAAGTAGTAATATTAGTTATCGGTGAGATTTTAAACTGATAGGTTACCTTAATACTTTCTTTCTTTATTTATTTTTAATTCAAAAAAGAATATTCTTCTTAATTTCTTATTTATTTTAATCTTTGTTAGAAGCAGGAAAGGTTTTATACAAAAATCTGCTGAGTTGAAGTATTTCATGATCGCCATATGTATCTGAAAATTTTTAAGTCATCAATTGTTATCAAACGCATCTATTGAAGTTCTATTGACATAATGATTGTAAAACATACATTTCCTTTGGGTCGGCCTAAACTGCACAAAGTATTCTACCCCCTTTAATCAGTAACATCAATTATCGAACTCTCATCCTTTCCAAAATTCTTCATGGGAGAGGAAAGAAAACAGGAAGTACATTTCAAAGGGACTAGTTATAAAAAGGTAGCTACAAAATTGGCTGCTTTTCGCCAAAATTCTCTGGTTCCCTTCTTTTTTTTTCTTCTTTTTTTTCAAAATTTTGCCGATTGTTTACTTAAGTATGATATTGATAGAAACTTATTTTTTTATAATTTTGAATGAAATTTTTTTTTCAAGCACATGTAATAAAAAAAGTAATTGGAATGCATTTTCTTTTAGTTTATATTATATTGAGAAATGTTAAATAAGTATGTTTAAATGGGGCAGAATTCGGCGGATTTATAGTTTTAAGATCCTTCTTTACGTGGGAATAGCTGATAAGCTTTAGTTTAATTAGAAAACAAATTAAAAATGTGAAGCTCTAAATCTTATTTTTCAATTTTGAGGATTTCCCCAAAGTGGGAATCAGATACTGTTTACACCTATTTACTTTAAAATAAGTTTATGGTAAAGTATTTGTAACAGTTTTCTCTGTAAAACTTTTATTTTAGAATTTATAAAAATATGTAATTTTCAATGGTCAAATACAAAGATTGAAATTATTAAAATGGTATCTTTGCAACATAAGATATTATAGTTTAATTTAAATTGAAAAAATATTAAAAATAAGAAAAAAATGTTATTAATTTTTATTTATTTATTTATTATTTTTTTTAATAAAATTTCATCCTCGAGTGGATGAATTTTATTAATAAATGCGGAGAATTTTTGGTTTATAATAATTTGTTCTAAAAGCGAGATAAAACATGTTAATATAGTACTAAAATTCTTAAAAACGGTTCCAAATTTATCGTATTTGCCATGTTTGTGTGCGGTTTTGAAACTTAAATTATCAGGAATATTGCATCCTAGTTCAGAATTTTTNGATTGAAATTATTAAAATGGTATCTTTGCAACATAAGATAACATAGTTTAATTTAAATTGAAAAAATATTAAAAATAAGAAAAAAATTGTTATTAATTTTTATTTATTTATTTATTATTTTTTTAAATAAAATCTCATCCTCGAATGGATGAATTTTATTAATAAATGCTGAGAATTTTCGGTTTATAATAATTTGTTCTAAAAGCGAGATAAAACATGTTAATATAGTACTAAAATTCTTAAAAACGGTTCCAAATTTATCGTATTTGCCATGTTTGTGTGCGGTTTTGAAACTTAAATTATCAGGAATATTGCATCCTAGTTCAGAATTTTTCGATTTTAAGATCAAAAGTTATTTAGAATAAAACTTTTTCTTTTATAGATTTATTCCTGGGCTAAGATAAGGAGATATTTAAATGAAAAAATAATTAAAATACATTAAAGAGTAATAGCCATAATGCCGTTCACAAGGGTCACCTGTTAACCCTGATTGTGTCGGAAGGAGTCACTTCATATAGGTATACTATGAGCCATGACACGAAAATCGTGTGATCATGAGCTGATATTCACTATACACTCCCGCACATTATNCCATGAAACGAAAATCGAGTGATCATGAGCTGATGGTGTCGGAATAAGTCACTTCATATAGGTATACCATGAGCCATGAAACGAAAATCGAGTGATCATGAGCTGATGGTGTCGGAAAATGTCACTTCATATAGGTATATCATGAGCCATGAAACGAAAATCGTGTGATCATGAGCTGATGGTGTCGGAAAAAAGTCACTTCATATAGGTATACCATGAGCCATGAAACTAAAATCGTGTGATCATGAGCTGATGGTGTCGGAAAAAGTCACTTCATATAGGTATACCATGAGCCATGAAACGAAAATCGAGTGATCATGAGCTGATGATCGGAAAAAGTCATTTCATATAGGTATACCATGAGCCATGAAACGAAACTCGTGTGATCAAAAGCTGATGGTGTCGGAAAAAGTCACTTCATATAGGTATACCATGAGCCATGAAACGAAAATCGAGTGATCATGAGCTGATGGTGTCGGAATAAGTCACTTCAAATGGGATACTATGCTCCGTGAAAATATAATTGCGTCATCGATGTCTTAAAAGTTTTAAATGCTGCATGAAAGGAAAATTATAAATCTAACAAATGTCAAAATTCTTATTTTTTTTCAACGTTTTCGTAACACAGCTATTAAGCATTTATTATTTAACATTCACTTTCATACTTTTATTATGTAGTATATCCGGATGTATCACGTGTTGTAATCAATATGATATATTATATTGGAGATAATTTCACTTTATTCAAAAGACCTCCATTTTTCAAAACAATGTTGCAATTTATTAAACAATGTACAATATGAATGTTTGATTCATAGAAAGAATGACTTTTTGAAAAACAATTTAATGAAATACAAATGAAAAAAAGAGAAAGTCTTACTCCAAATGCTAAATAATCTCATTTCTTTTCTCCAGTGAATTTCACGACAAAATGCTACGGTGATTTGGGATGTTTCTATACCGGTCCTCCTTGGTACCATCCTCTGTACAGACCAATAAGTGTACCACCGCAAGAACTGCACACAAAGTTTTTGTTGTATACACGTTCCAATAAACGGAAGCCCTATTATCTGATACCAACGCGAGAATCACTGTCAAAGTCTCCTTTCAAAGCTGATTTACCAACAAAAGTACTCGTTCACGGATATTTAGGTCGTCCGCAACAACTTGTAGTAAGGAAACTTTATAGATTTTATCATTTTTATTATCTTCACAGATTTTACAATATTATTTACTTGCCAATTTAACAATGTTATAAAATTAGCAGTTTTTTAACTTTTAATTAGATCTATTTGATGAATACAACCAACTAGATGTATATACGATTGAAAACGGGGTACAATGCAATATAATATCGTGACAACTTGATACAATCTAAACTAGTTAGAAAACTTCGTGATTCTAAAGTTAAATTAATACACCTTGAAATTAATTTGCACGATATTCTTTTTCATTTTGAACTGCAACGGGGATACATTTTAATCTTTATTATGCTTCTTGTAATTAAATATGCATATATAAAATTCTCAAGGTCATGTTTTCTACCTTCTTCGCTTTCGTAACGATGTGACAGGCAACTGCGCTAAACTTTTCATTTACATGGCATGACAAATAAATACCTCTGGAGGTACTGGATCGGAAATGGATCGTGCTCTGGTTCGGGTTTAAATTACGTTATATGGATGAATGGTGTGTGAAAAAATTCTCCCTGTAAAACGGGATGTGACGTATGTATGCGGTCTCCTGTTCCTCCTCAGGGATGTTTTCCAGACCGTCACCAACAGTCAATTGTGCAGCTCTAGATGATGTAAATTAATGCACCAACCTACAACGTGCAGTTCGCTAATGAAAAACCATCCAAAACAACTTTTGATCTAATGTTCGGATCTTCACATTCTAGGACTCATTCTTAACACTAGATTGCCCAAAGAAGTCATTTTGACTGCTTTTCAATTGCTTTTTCATTTGAAAAAAATGTACAAATAATAATGCATAAATTATTTTTTTCCCGGTGAAATAAATTTTTTTATTGTTAATATCTACTAATAACTTGTTATATAACTGAAATGATATAAAAAAATAATTAAACAAATTTCTTTACACATTAGTTATTCTTTCACAATGCAATCATTTTGACTGATTTTGGGCAATATAGGTTTCAGTCTTTCCAGTGTTATAACGTTATTCTCACAATGAAATATGTTTCGAGTGGGCGAAACATTTTCGTCATATATTTTAGAATTCGTGTTTCATTTCAAATGACGTGATTTTAAGACGAAATTATTCAAAAAATAAACTTAAAACAGCTCAAGAATTGCCGAATCGTCAAAACTGAGAACTTTATTTCTGACAGTTCTAGAATATAACTGAGAGTTCTAGAATACCTCAAAGGGTAACAACTATGTTTTTTACAATATTTGTTCAGCAGAAAATTATAAATTTTTTTTTATTATTTTGCAAAATTACTAATACCAGACCAGATAATAAATCCAAATTTTACCAAGCACCCGGAGCCGAACATGAAACAAATAAAAATTTTGCCATGTATCCTGAACAGGACAGGAAGAAAAAAATTATTTCAATCTAATACCTAGCAAACTTTTCGGTTCCTATTCATTGCTTAAATTTGAATTTTAATTACTTAAGGTTGCTAACTTACAATCTAGCAACTTTTAACGACTCGCTCTCTTTTCTGGAGGCTTTCCACTTGGCAGCAGTTGGATCAAATTATAATGCAAGTTTTTATTTCTGTAAAAATTTGTGACCTAAACTGTAAAAAGAAATCTAGAATCAAGGTATTTACGAAAATATCAAGCAAAAGAGCGAGTTGTTAAAAGTCACCGGACTGGAAAATCGCAGACCGTTGCACTTTCAGAATGTAACAGTTCTTTTTCCATTCCTACAGGGTATAATGCAAGAACTCTTGAAATATTCCTCTTACAATGTAATCTTAGTAGACTGGTCGCGTGAAGCAAACTCTCTTCCAGCTCAAGCAATTGCCAACGCCAGATTGGTCGGAGCGTATGCAGCTAAACTTCTTCAATTCATAATGGTTTGATATAATGCTGAACATTCATAATGGTTTAGTATAAGTTGAATATTATCCATATTTTTTTTACTGTCTTTATTTCAACGCATTCAATCCACAAATACTTCTACCTGGAAAAGTTAGAGAAATAAACAAAGTGATATATTTGAAATTAATTAAATTATTTTTGATACTATTGAATTTTCCGAGTAGTAGTTGGTTGTAAACACTTTTCTCTATATATTACTTTATTGCCGGTACTGGACGCTCCTTTAAAATCAAGTGGATTTTGGTAACTTGCCTACTTTTTTCTCGAGATTTTTCTCTTGCCTGCATATGTACAGTGCACCAAAAAGAATCAGACCAATGCTTATAATTGTATCTTCACGATAGAGGACTCAATCTTAATAGCCCGAGCGGTGACTTCAAATCGGCAAATTTGTTAGTGCAGAAGATATTTTAAGTTACAAATTCAGACACAAAAACGTACTTTCTCTGAATATAAATAACATACCTTATTTTCCACGAATTTGGATTTCTGAGTCCCAAAATATAAGGGGTAGCCGCATTTTGGAAAATATCACCCCTGCAGTTTGGTAAGGAGAACAATCTAATGTTCGGATCCCTTAATGTTATTTTTACTTTTTACGTACTCCTCTGTATATCTCGAGAAATTTTTTTAGCGAATTAAAAAACTTTTGCTCACAACTATAAAATTCCTTTTTCAAAAGATAATTTCCCGCAAAACTTTTATACATGTCAACTCAAACTTTTTTCAACTCTTTTTAATAAAAATGATAAAAATAAATAAATATTTAACAAAATAAATAATAATTTTATAATTACAATTATAATTTTATTAATTAATAATTTTTTAATTAATAATAATTTTAATAGTTATATAATTAATATTAAACAAAAAAATAAATTTTATCATTGTATGCAAAAATGTTTCAATTGGCTGAAAAATTTCTCGAGAAATAGTGAAATTAACATTTAGGAATTCAATTTTTGGATCTCACTCCTGACCGAAATATGAAGACTATAATTCCCAGATTGTGGCTGCCCCCTATATTTTGGACACAGGAATCCGAATCCGTTACAAAAAGATATGCTTATTGAGAGAAAGTACGTTTTCATGTTTGATTTCACAACTTAAAATAGTGTCTGCACTAATTAGCATATTGGAAATCTCCCCTCTAGCCATTAAGATTGAGCCCTAGAACGTGAAGATTCGATCATTAGATCAAAAGGTAATAAAAAAAATATAAATAACAAAAATAAATAACATAATTTAACAAGAATAAGTAACGATTTTCAGGAGCATTTTGAGAAAATTAAAAATTTAAATTAATCTCAATTTTTATTTAAAAAAAAATATGTATGTTTAAATTATAAAACTGTAAAATACAACAAAATGTCACAAAATTCATCCAAATAGTGAATGAAAATATCAGAAAAACACTAAATTAGAAAAACAAAATTCAATGTTTTCAAATAAAGAAGAGTTTAAAGTTATGTTAATTTTAAAACTATCTTTTCCTAGCAGATTTTTGTAGTAATTTGTAGTGAAGTTTGCACTGGGAAATCTAGTTACTTGAGTTTGGAAAAAAAAAGTTCACCAGAATTTGTGAAATTTATAAACTTAAAAAAAAATATTTCAAAAACTTCGAACAAATAATTTTTTGGAGGAAAAGTTTTAAAAATTTTCAAAATAAAGTAACGGTTTCTTTTGACATTTACGTTACAAATACTTGTACTTGTTTCTCAAGAAAGCAACGGTAAACAAGTAAAAGTACTAAATTTAAAAAGTAACAATGTACAAGTAAAAGTACAATCCTTTTACTTTTAATTCTGTTACAAATGGCGTAAGTAATTAAAATGCCATGTATGGTTGTATGCGCAGAATAATTAATTTTTCTTATATATAAGACGTTTTTCGAAGATAAAAACGATGTTGTGTAAATCATCGTTTCTTATTTCTTCTATACTTATGAAGCCGATGTATTTAAATATTGGATTAGATGGCATATTTTTCATACTATATCAAAAGTAAAAACCCATAGTTGAGGTGCTAAAATTAATATAAAGCTTTATTTTTATTCTATAAATACACATTTCATCGGGATAATAAGAATGGAACTCTAATAATGATAGATATTTATTTTCTAAAGCTAGTTAATATTTTGAAAGTGAGAACCAAGTTTATTCCCGATCGCTTATTTTTTGAACCGCCAATTTGATTGAATTGTTTTTATTTGAATAAAAAAAGCATTTAAATCAGAGAATATTTTTAAACTTTTTTTCTGAGTCTTAATAAAGAAACAACTTTATTAAAATATTAGATCATAAACTCTACATATTTTAAATTTGTTCCATAAAATCATATTTGTTCATATCTTGACTCTCTCACAGATGCACAAAACTTCAACCTTCTGAATCAGAGCATTTGTAAAAATATAATTCACTGAATGGCATTATTTTAAAGTTTAAATTACCCCTAGATAAACAATGTTAGCGTAAAGATTTTAAACGGTATAGTCAGATTCGAAAGAGAAAGAAAACTCACTTAAGCACTACAGAGACGTGGAACCCATGTTTACCTAAAGAATGAAAAAATCCTACAATAAATTAATTTTTCTAAAACTCACTAATGTGTTTAATAACACATTCTTAAACTTAACACATTAATAACAATTGCTGGCGAGTTAACTCGTCTTTTCATGCCGAAACGTTGTTGAATGATAACGAATAAACTCGTCTTTTCATGCCTAAACGTTGTTGACCTATAACGATTAAACTCGTCATTGCACTTGCATTATTTATTTAATAAATATCAACTTATAAAATCTAGGATCTTTAGAATGTTTCACCTTACTTTCATATTCAGTTACAAATTAAGAGTAAAAATGCCACTCAACAAAGTGTTAAGTTCATACCATCTGTAAATTGCAGCAAAAAAATAAATTTTACGAACGCCTTTTAGTGTTATTCAAATGAACTACTAGTTCCACAGATGAATAAACAGATACGAATTAAAACTTAACAATTATTTATTAATTCTAAAGCAACTTAAATTTTGTGATATTTATAAATCCTAAAAAATCGAACACTAAAAATCTAACATAAAATATTTCAAGAACGTTGCCATAAGAAAAACTAAAGTAAAACAATAAAAATGAAGTGAAAGTAGTAGTAGTTACAGTCACGTGATATTAACTATAACAATCTCTAACACCTTCTATTCGTTTAGGAACGAATTGGATTGGAACCAGAAAACATCCATCTTATTGGTCACAGTCTTGGTGGTCAGCTGGTTGGTTTCATTGGACAGAGAATTAGAAATTTGGGCAGAATCACAGGTATGGAAATTAAAACTGCGTCATTATAAGATGCTTTGTTTCACAATCAGATCTCGATTCATCTTAAGAAAGTACTCCAGATAGATAGATTAATAAAAAATTGAAACACCTCAAAATTATCAGAGTTAAGCATTCGCCACCTCGCCGAATGCAATAAAATCGTAAATTTGGCGAATAAAATTGTGTTGGGGTGAATATACAGGTGAATGATTTTTTCTTCTTGAAAGAAATTAAATATACGTCAAAAATTTTTTTTCTAAAGAAATCAGTATTTTTTATTCAAATACAGTATAAACGAGCCGCATAACCAATTAGAATTGGGTCCAAATAATACAAGCCTGAAACAAACTATCCTAAAATTGTTTTCTATGTAAAAATATTAATTTTAAAAAAATTTTTAGACTTGGTTGAGCGAAGACCTTTGAAAATTGGCGAATACTTTTGATATTTGGCTAATTTACCGGCTAATAATTTGAAACCATTAACCCGGACCCTGATTAGAGAACAGCGAAAGTGCCATGACTCTAAAAGTGGCATGAAGACCATGAATTCCGACGAGGAAAGAATGTTACTAGTTGCACCATGATCTCTTAGGGGATCGAGCGTTTGCCTTCCAATGAGGTGACTGGGTTCGAATCCCAACGATGCAGGACAACACAAGTCAGCATTCGGCTTTCACCGACCACAGTACTGACGTGAAATATCCGCAGTGGTAGACCTATTATGAGTTAGAGTTAACCTTGTTGTCAGGCTAGATATGGTTTTCGTGGTTTTTTTCCCCATATGAAGCAAATGCAGGCTTGTTTAATTAAAAAAAGACCTTCGCGAAGACAAATATCTATCAAAACTTGAAATAGTATTTCCCTTGTGTTCTGAATTGGGTTTAAAAGACAAAGGAGCTGAACATTAGTAATCATTTCTGGTTAAAGTGCCAAAATGGAAAATAAAATAGAAATTCAAAGTTTAGCAACAACGAAAATCCGATTTTTTGAACGTCGTTTTCTGCGGACAAGAGGTGGACACCCAGCATTAAACTAATTGTCACCACTGTTTCAATGAAAACACTCTTTTTTTATTATCTAGGCGTTAACATTTAGGAAAATATGTTTGGAGAAAAGACTTTAGCCTATGATGGTTGCGGGCGTAGAATAATTGCATCGAAAATATGAGTCGAAAATAACAGAGCAAGTGTTAATATCAAATCTTTTATAATCATTTTTGAACAGACGACCCAATTTTTGGGTCTGTGACAACTGATCCTCTATTTTGTAGCCTTGTAATTTTGAACCAAATCAAGAAGCCAAGGAAACTCCTGGATCAAGTATAAGGAGAAATTAGCCTTCGTGGAGGACTTTTTGATGGAACTAAACCGCATTTGCGTTACATGGAAAGGAAAACTACGAAAACTTCCCACGGTGAGCCTGACAGCAAGAGGGACACTAACCCATGATCCATCTTTCACTGAATATATTTTACGTCAGCACTGTGGTCGGTGGGAGCTGGGTGCGGAATTCGTATTCACCTGCCATCCCTGGGATTCGAACCCTGTCACCTAATTAGAAGGCGAGAGCTCAATCCCCTTATCCACCACGATTCCGTGTGAAATCTTTTGACATCGTAAGGAATTTCTTCAAAAATTTGATATTTACTAGTCGAACTTTAATAAGTTCGTAGATAGACCTGAAAATAACTACTCGTCACTTGACGAGTCAGCAGTAAAAATAGGCGACCTTAATTAAATGAACAAACAGTAAATTTTTCCAATCCTTTTTGAAGTTATACTTCTTATGGGACTTCCAACAAGGTTGCGTTAAACGTTCAACGCTACACTTTTATTGGCCGGGATATCTCGTGGTAGGATCCAGTTTCCCTCATTCATTTCCATATTGTTTTGGTTCTCACTAGCATAAAAATAATAAAAGTCATAAAAGCATTGTTTTTCCATAAAAAATTTTTTAGTTTGTTTTGATACACATATAATTTAATAGGGTAGTATTTTTTATTTTCAAATTTAGTGGATAACAATTGTAAAAAATGAGTGAAAACAATCCCACGGACAATGCGACGGATTTAAGGTTATGTCAAGGTACGTCTCTTGTGAATATCAATTGATTGTTAGGTTTTCTCTTCTGAAATTACATTATGACGCATTCACATACATTATTAATACAAATACATTTTCCAGGGCGAGACGATGAGGCAACCACAAGCACTTCCACTGGTTCAAGAGGTCCACGAGGGAAAAATGCACAATATTACCGTGATTACAGAGCACGGAAGCGAGCGGAGCAGGAAAAAGAGTCGTTGAATAGAACTAGTGATCCTTCTACGACTGCTGATTCTTCTACAATTAACGTCGCAGGTTGCGAAATTTAACTTCTTCCGCGCGGAGGGACTCCACGCACTATTTTTTTTCGATATTTTTTAATTGCTCATCGAATTTTATAAGTCGGTGAAGACAATTCAATATGTTTAGCTAAATTTTGTCACATATTCATGTTGTTTATATATTTGAATTTTCTTTTTATAGCCATAGATTATTTCTACCAGAAAATTTTTTTTAAGAAATATATTTTAATTCAAGTAAAGAAAAGCAAAAATTGGCTATTAAATAAAAAGGTGCGATCGATATTGGTCACCAGTAGGACGGGGGGAAAAAATAACTTAAGTCATTAAGCTTGCAAAAAAAGTAACTTAAGTTTTTAGTTACTTAAGTCATTAGGTTTGAGGAAAATTCATTAGGCTTGAGGAAAAAGTTACTGCTAAGTTATTAGAGTCTACCAGCCACTGGTTTGTAACTGAAAGTTCAAATTTTCAGGTCTATTCGTAGATCTTATAAAAAACTATAAAAGTTTCTGCCTTTTTATTGAAATTTTTGCATTTATATAATTTAATAAAGTTTGATAAGATCTGTGTGCTTTATAATGTGATAATTTCGTTTATTTTTAAAAACGAAAATTGGTAAATTCTTACATTTTGAAATTTGTTAATTTTTTATATTTCAATTAAGTTTGATAAGTTCCTACCCTTTATTAAAACAATTTACACTTTACACTTTCATAAAAGTTAGTAACTTGCATAAAATTTTATGACTTGTTTTTATCTATTTTGTAGCCTTGGATCCACCAGGACCATACTTTGATCATGCCCCGAAAGAAGTTCGTTTAGATAGAACTGATGCTATCTTTGTTGATGTTTTACAGGTTAATGGTGGAAGAAACTTTTTTGAGGGTAAGCACCATACGCCCAGATTTCATTTCGTACGTCACAAGTAATCTGGAAGTACAAGTTAAACCGTATATGTTATTCTCCAAACGAGATTTAATTTATCCTGAAAGGTTAGATTTTCACTCTTTGCTTGAGCCTCAATTTTGTCCCGAGTAGAGTGCCACTCAATGGCCGGGATCAGCTACCCCAAAACTAAATTCCCGTCTATTTTATATTATCTAAAATAACTGATAAAAAGACTGTAAGACGTCTAAGAGGAATGTTCATTTAGGTATCGCAAGGCTGTCTGTGTTTACAGGAGAAAATTTTTTTAAGCAGCACCAATTTTGATTTTTAAATAAAATTGGTATTGATGTTTAGAATCTTCTCATCCATCCTAGTTACATGATATAACTTTGACAACGTTATTTCTTCTCACTTATGTATTTACTATATGATTAATAATAAGCATACTTTGTTTACGCACTTTTTTAGTATGATTCTAAAAATGCACATTACGAACGATTATTCTTTGTATTATACAAAAATTAAGCTGCAACACGTGTTCTGAGTCTAATTTGTTTAAAACTAGAACATTGAAAAGTGAACGAAAATTTTGGTGACTAAACAGTTAGTTATTGAATGCAACATAGAAATTAACATGAATTCAATCGCTTTTTTGTTCCAACAATTTAATGCAAAATTGAAGAGAAAAAAAGAAAAAAAATAGGCATAAAACGTCGCTTTAAAGAAAACTGTACCTTACAGTCTTTAAGAATAAGTTGTCGTGAAAATATTAAAAAGATTGGCTTTTAGAACGAAATGTATTACCAAAATCTGCCATTTAATTTCAATGCTTTAGGAAACGTTGACTTTCCGTGATTCCAATTGTAATTTGGGACACCGAAATTGAGATCAAGAAATAAACACGGAGTAACACTTGTTACAGGCCATAATCGTGGAGAAGAACTCAATGCAGCGATTTGTTGGCCAAGGTATTACGAACCGTTCTCTGTTGAACTCAGGTCTGGAGATCTGAAGGACCCATCAATCGCGTATCCTCCAATAGAAAGTAATTGAGAGAACCTTGTCAGACTAGTGTCTGATTAATTCTTCTTCCACGGTTTTATATGAGCTGGAAAAATGTATTAAAAAAATTAGATAATTTAGGAATTTAGGTTAAAAAGTAAAAACCATCCTGCTCTGACCAGAATATTCTTGCCACAGTTATAAACTCGATTTTGCAACTATTGTCTCGAAAGCGCTAGATGTTGAATCTCCAAGTCAAAAGGATAGAATAACTCGACGTGTATACTTATCCTTCAAATTCCTAATGAATGCTTTAATCATACAAGAATCGATTAAAGGGGATGACGTGATCAAACGGTTTTACACAATGTCTAATTTGTATTAATAGTTTTCTTTTTCGATGACCGAAGCCTTTTCCATTAATTGAACAAAAACAGAAATATTTTCTCAAGTTTCATTACATAGTTGTTGGATATCCAGGTGCAGTTCGTTTAACAGGAGTTGGCACTTAGCTACAACTCCTCGGACGAAGCGTTCATTTTGGCGCGGGAGAGAGAGGAGAAAAATGTCCGAGCATGAAATGGAGACAACCATTAATTCTCGTCAAACGCAAACACTGAAATTTTTTTCAGACACATACTTTGCTTTATCGTCTGCTAATATACCTTTCGTTACTCCAACTAATTAAATATATTGCATCAACATTTCTCAAAAAGGACAAACTATTCACTCAAAAGAGAGAATTATCATCAAATTTATGAAATAAAATGTTAAAAAGATGCAAATAAAGACTTGGAAACAAATATTTTTGTCATACGATCCCCAAATAGCAACCTTGTTCAGGATTGTTCACATCCCAAAAATAGCAAAATAGTATCTCCTGATACCAGGTCATGAAGGCGGAGTCAAGTGCCTACTCCCGGTGAACGAACTATACTTAAAACAGTCACTACTGATCCCGGTAGCCAATTTCAAAGTGATTTACTCAACTCTTTACCAAAACTAAACTGTTCTTAAAATGTCGTCTGCTTTTCTTATCTATCACGTGGTGCCAAACTATTTTATTATATATTAATTTCTCTTTTGAAGGCTCTGGCACATATAATATTATTGGGCATGCTGTCTTCTCCATCAACGGTGGTCATCGTCAACCAGGCTGCAAATACAAACCTACCAAGTATCGTAAGTTTTCATTTCTATACTTATTGGTTAATCAATTTCATCCTGTATGAAATTTGTATGCTAAGCTGTGTTTGAGCGGTTTTAGACTCAGAAGACAGAGTGTTCGCCTCCCAATGAGATGAGCAGGGTTCAAATACTTTCAACGGCAAGTCAATACGAAGTCCGCACCAGGCTTGCACCGACTACAATGCTTGCTTAAAAATATCCTCAGTGGTAGACGGAACATGGCTTAGAATCCCCTTGCCATCAGGCTAACTGTGAGAGGTTTCACGGTGATGCAAATGTGGGTTATAGTTCCATCAAACACTCCTTCACTAAGGCAAATTTCTCTCAAAACTTGATCCAGGAGTTTCCTTGCCTTCTGGATTGGGTTCGAAATTACAAAGCTATGGAGTTGAGTATTGGTAGTCATAAATTAAAAAATTGGCTCAGGTGTTCAACGACGGCTATAAAATAATTAATGTGTGAGCCGTGGTGGCTCAGGGGTCAGAGAGCTCGCCTTCCAATGAGGTGAACTGGATTCAAATCTTAACATGGATGATTGATACGAATTCCGCACCAGGCTTGCACCGACCTCAGTGTTTACGTAAAATTATTTTCAGTGGTAGACGGATCATGGGTTAGAGTCCCTTACAGTCAAGTCAATCGTGGGAGGTTTTCGTGATTTTACTCTCCGTATAACGCAAATGAGGGTTAAATCACTCAAAAAGTATTCCAAGAAAGCAACCCAATGTTTGATACAGGAGTTCCTCTGTCTTGAACATTGTTAGTATTGACTGAGCATTGGCTGTTCAACGACGGTTATTGGTTGATGCATGCATTTATTTGGCTTATTGTTTGTGACATAAAAAACTTGGCATTTTCCTATAGCAACTCTTTCAATAATTTCTAGTGAATGCACTCCTCAACTTAGTACATAGCTTCAAACTTTAGGAAAGAATATTTTCCCCTCAATCCCTATAAATTATCTTATGTCTTTAAAGAATCTTTTTATCCGCAAACAAAAAACAATAGTCGAAAGTGTTTATTCAGAAACAGTGATAAATCAATTTATTTTTTAATTTATTGTAACATGAAAAATGAGGAAAGTGGGGATTGAATTTCGTCATTTGAAAAGTATATTTCGGCGATGGTATTCAATATAAAATTTGACGGGAAAAGTTATATAAAACATGTTTGTTTGTTATGTTACATAAAACATGTTATTTTGAAGTTAATTTCTTATGTTATTTGACAGATAGAAAGAAATACTACTTTCTAAACATCTTTTTTTATTTCTTATATAAAGTCACAAGTCAAAGAGATATGAACGCAAGAAAAAAATGACATCACTTTAGCTTAATCACAAATTTGTTACGACTTCTTTTCACTTATTTTAGTTATTTATTTATTTATTTTGTTATTTTTATCGCCCATCACAGCAACACAAAAGTATCTTTATATCTAAAGTAGGTAGAAATTTTTTCTTCCAAATTGGTAATGAAAGTAAATTAAGCATTTCTAAGGAAATAGAAAAAAAATGTCGTTACGAATGTCTAAATTATAAGCTGTTTCAAGTTAAGAAATACCCATTATCTTTATGGAGAGGACCTGTTTGTATTCAAATGCACACCAAATATATGCCAAGCTCCCAGTGCGAACGTATATCAACATCGTCAACTCTAATTTAAAGAAACCAATGAAAGAATAATAAATATTGCTTTTTGCAGACGATTTTCTTCTACAGTGAAACAAAATTGAAAATTCTTTATTTTACATTATATTTNTAAGCTGTGTTTGAGCGGTTTTAGACTCAGAAGACAGAGTGTTCGCCTCCCAATGAGATGAACAGGGTTCAAATACCTTCAACGGCTAATCAATACGAATTCCGCACCAGGCTAGCACCGACTACATTGCTTGCTTAAAAATATCCTCAGTGGTAGACGGATCATGGGTTAGAGTCACCTTACAATCAAGCCAATCGTGGGAGGTTTTCGTGATTTTACTCTCCATGTATCGCAAATGCTGGTTAGTTCACTCAAAAAGTCTTCCAAGAAGACAAATTTCTCTCAATGTTTAATACAGGAGTTCCTCTGTCTTGAACATTGTTAGTATTGGCTGTTCAACGATGATTATTGGTTGATGCATACATTTATTTTGCTTATTGTTTGCGAACATAAAACACTTGACATTTTTCTATATTAACCACTGCAATAATTTCTAGTGAATGCACTCCTCAACTTTGTACATAGCTTCAAACTTTAGGAAACAATACTTCCCCTCAATCCCTATAAATTATCTTATGTCTTTAAGGAATCTTTTTAACCATAAACAAAACTAATGTCAAAAGTGTTTATTCTAAAACAGTGAAAAATCCATTTATATTTTAATTTATTGTAACATGAAAGATGAGGAAAGTGGGGATTGAATTTCTTCATTTGTAAATTATATTTCGGCGAAGGTATTCAATATAATATTTGAAAGGAAAAGTTATATAAAACATGTTTGTTTGTTATGTTACATAAAACATGTTATTTTGAAGTTTATTTGTTATGTTATTTGACATTTAGAAAGAAAAACTACTTTCTAAACCTTTTTTTTTAATTTCTTATATAAAGTTACAAATCAAAAAGACATGAATGCTGACATCACTTTAGCTTAATCACAAATTTGTTACTACTTCTTTTCAATTATTTTATTTATTTCTTTATTTATTTTGTTATTTTTATCGCCCATCACAGCGACACAAAAGTATCTTTATATCTTAAACAGGTAGAAAATGTTTCTTCCAAATAGGTAATAAATGTGAATTAAACGTTTCTAAGGAAATAGAAAAATGTCGTTACGAATGTCTAAATTATAAGCTGTTGCAAGTTAAGAAATACCCATTATCCTTATGGAGAGTACCTGTTTGTATTTAAATGCACACCAAATATATGCCAAGCTCCCAGTGCGAACGTATATCAACATCGTCAACTCTAATTTAAAGAAACTAATGAAAGAATAATAAATATTGCTTTTTGCAGACGATTTTCCTCTACAGTGAAACAAAATTGAAAATTCTTTATTTTATATTATTTTTATTTTTTCACATTATTGCGGGATGTTAGCATAAGGCACGCTGTTTTTAGAGAACCAATCAAATCCAATGCTCTCGTGACGTCATATAGTTGTTTCTTTTTCAAGTACAAATGTTCTCCTCATTTATAAAAATATATCGCCAAATCTAAGATTCCAGTATGAATACGTAACAATAACCTTTTTTAAAAAAATTCCATGATAGATATCGTAAACGATAACACGAACTAAGTCTTTGTCTAACGTGTTAACCAAATAAAACAGAACTATATGCAGTCGTTCAAGATTACTTAAATCCTATACCACAATGATCTCTTCTTAACTTACAACGGTGTATAGGACAAGTATAGCCCATCTTCAGCCATCACCCTCTACGCACAAAATGAAAAATGTGTTTCAAATGGAAATGTCGCCAGTATTCCAGAATGACTACGGAACAATAACCTTTTTTTTAATAATTCTACGATATATACCGTAAAAAATAACACGAATTAAAATTTTGCCTGACGTATTTAACTTATAAAAGTTTTTATGCTTTTTTTGAAAGTATAGTAGCATAATTTGATAAAAAAAATAACAGAACTAACTATATACAGCCGCGGATGATAACTTAAATCCTATCTTTTCTTAACCTGCAACGGAGTCATGTCTTTCACGGAATGGGCAGTATTTGTTGAGGTTCTTTCAACTTCCAATAGCAGATTCATGTAGAAGAATTTCTGCTGACGTAAACAAAATTGTGTAAATCCGCATCTCAACGATCTGGTAATTGCATATCAATACAGGATAATTTCCCAAAGTACCTTTTTTTCATGCCGCCAACTGTTATTTTAAAATATGAAGAAAACATTTTTTCTCAGAAACACGACATGAAAATTAAATTTAGAGCAACTGAATATCCCAAGTATCTGCAAACAAACTCGGAACGTCAAAATAGAAATAGTCGCGACAAGGCTTTGACGTCAGGTCAGGATCTCACGATTTCCGTTTTTTTTTCTTCGTAAATAAGAGAGTTTAACAGAGTTTTTATTCATTTATTTATTTATTTATAGCTCGCCCTTTCGCTGGTCTTCGTCCCGGTCCTTTATGCAGCCACCTTCGAGTTCTAGACAATTTCAAGTCTTCCATCAATACTTGTAAGTACACTTCATACGCATGCTTCTCCTACGAAGCATTTAAGTATGGTCACTGCAAGAACACTCCATTCACGAACAGGATGGGATTCCACGCTGTCAAACCACCCTTTCAGCTCAATTATTTCTTGGACACCACCGGCAAAGCTCCCTACTGTGAAGTCAAATAATTTCTGTGTTCGTCTGATTGTTATGCAGTTTGAATTCTCATTAAATTATGAATTAGATTGCATTTAGTGTTCTTCATTAATTTATAACGCCAGCTGTACCACCACTAAATTTGAGCACAGTTTCAAATATCGTATATTTTTTGTAATTCTAGTAATCGTATAATTCGAGTAATTCTTTTTACGAAATACAGAAATGGTGACCCAAGAATTTTTGCAAATTAGAAAAATAAAGGTTACAGGCAGTTTTTTAGCTAAAATATTCTATAACGCATTTTAGGCAATAGTGGATAGAATTAGCATGTGGTGTATAATCGAGATCTGATGAGTCAAATCATTTCCAATTTTTGACGCAGAAGAAACTCCCAGAATGCTCTTCTACACTACATGGTGTAGACTAGTCACCACTTACCACCCTGTTTTATCCAGTAGCACTAAAACTTATAGTTACAGTAAAATATATATAATAGTTACAGTATGCAACACGTATACAGAAACACATAATGCTATATTATTTAGTTGGCAAAAAAAGTTTTCAGACAACAATTTCAATCAGAAATTTAAAGATTCAATAAAAAAAACATTAATTATAAACTAAAAATGTAAAATAAAGACTGCTTCTGATGGAAAAAAAACTATCCTAAAAACTACTCAAATTGAACTAAAAAATTTTCATACTTCTTTTTTTTTAAACCTTAAAATTCTCAATCAGACGTAGAAGACCATTCTATAGCATACTATCCTCGAATTAGAAAACAATTTATTAATAAATAAATTTTCTATTATAAAAATCATAGCACTTACCAGCTTTTTAAATCCAAAGATTTCAAAAATAAAATGTTCTTCGTTTGAAATTTTATTCTCAAATAATATATGAGTAAATTATCCCTTCATTAATTCAAGATGATATACCACCCTAAAAAATTTTAAAATTTTTAGATCTGGATATGAATTTTAATATGCAACCTAAAAGCAGAATAGCTGATTTCCAGTTGAAATTAGTCATTCAAAATTAAAATATACTTACCAAGAAAGCGATAAGGACTCAATAATCAACACAAATGATACTAATTCAAGTAATTAAAATTATTCTTTATTGTTGTCTTCCGAAATATATATTCCATGACTAAGAATTTCTAGAACTATTACGAAATTATTATTGGAATGAAGTAAGCAATGTGGACTTAAATAACTTCTTTTGAATTTATAATAAACTAGCTCAATGGAAGAACCAGGTAAGTGACATTTTTAAGGGAATTAATGAATCGCTGGTTTTGCCTTTCTTTAAATCTTAACACAACCAATCACACACATTTTTAGTATGGTAGTATGATTTTTTATTTCAAATTAGGCAATAACGTTTTATTTTTTAGGTAGTTAGGTTTATATAAAATTTGGAACAATAAAGCGAATAATTATTAGTCCCGTCTTCTATTAAATTGGTAATAATATAGTTCGGATACCACTTTTTTCTTCATTCTGAAAATGTTACTTACCTGCTTCTTTCACTAAGTTTTTCAGTTAATATAGCTAAAATAATTTCACTTTTTTAAATTTAATATTATCTATTGCCCTTTACAGTGGCATTACGTTACTGAAGTAAGTAAAACTTGTTTTTTGTAGTTCATTCCATTAGAATAAAGATAAAATGTATTTAGCATCACTTGACATGTTACTATTACTCGCAGCTAAACCCTAATATGCAAAACTTACCGTTATCAAATAATTTTCTCCGGTATATATCCTTTTCGAAGAGGGGTCGTTCTAAAGTATCGGTATTTAAACGGCGTAGTATTGGTTCTGTTTAAATCATCTCGAAATATATCATTATAATATTTTATATCTATATTACCTTATTTGGTACTTATTACATAAACCTTCGACATTTAAGTTCTGTGAAAAATATATTTATCAGTGACAGCCAACTGAAGACGAAATTTTTTTAAAAAAAGATTGAATTCTTATTAGAATTTTATAGGGATTTTGGAGAATGGCCATTTCTCTATCTAACCGTTAATTTGGTATTAAAATATTTAGATGACGCTAATTCATATTACGCAGATGACGCGTAATTCATATTACATATGAATTAAGCGTCATTTGTGAATGGTGATTTTCTATGGTTTTCCTTAGCGAATTTTTTATTAACCTTTTCTCCTTTAACTTTGCTTTTTAGCTCATAGCTTAGATTATTTTATTTCAATTCACACACATTATCAATATTAATAAAGCATGACAGTAATAATATGCCAATTCAAAATGAATAAGAGTAGTAGTTTTCATCTGGAAAGACGTCATTAACTGTCTATTTCTCCCCATTAGCTTATTTCTGTCCTACTGTGGTTTCAATTTTAATTTCAGTTTTTTTTTTATTATTAAATATTTTATTTATAATTTTTTGGTGGTGACAACACTTATTAATATTATTTTACTTGTTTACGGTGGCAATACTTATAAGCTTTGTTATTTGGGTGAGAAATAATATACTATTATGAAGTAGTAGCGTCATCTTTTACTGCATAATAAATAAATGATATCATGCATATGCTTTTACTCTAGTGGCGCCATCTATGTGGGAATGTTAGAAATAAAACAACTTTAAATCTATTTTATTATTTAATTTAAATATAATTGATGCTGAGGATCGAACACATCATGTGGTGATAAGAGATAACGATAAATAGAAGTGACGAGAGTAAAGTGTTTTATTCCTCATGGATCTTTTGAAATTTAAACATCCCTTTACAGCTGTCCTCGCAGGTCCAACAGGTAGGGGTAAATGTTATTTCATAAGAAAGTGATTGAAAACCAAATGATACAGCCTTTCGCAAAACACGTAGTATGGTGTTATGGCGTTTATCAAAAATTATATGATGAGATGCCTAATGTTATTTTTCATGAATGACTTCCATCCAATTTGAATCAATATTTAGATGCATTAATTGGGATTGATGATCTCATGAGTGAATTGGAAAATGATCCTCAATTGACGTAATCATTTATAAAATTTTCCCACCATAAATCTCTTAGCATTATTTTTGTAGCTCAAAACATTTTTCATAAAGGAAAGGAAATGAGAGAAATACCCTTAAATGCTCATTATCTTGTATTATTTAAGAATCGAAGAGATCAATCGCAAATTACACATTTAGGACGCCAATTGTACCCTCGAAAAGCTAAACTTTTTTCAAGAATGTTATGCAGATGCCACATCAAAACCTTACGGCTATTTACTTATTGATTTAAAAAATTATGCCGAAAAATCCTTACGCATGCGTACTGGGATGTTTCCTGGAGATACTTATTATGTGTACCAACGTACAGAAAGAAATTTGTGTCGGTTCCGGAGGATAGCACACAAATTTCTGCAGAAAAAGGACGTAGCAGAGGACGAGAAAGCAACTCTGTATTTACAAATATTGCAGAAGTATGCGAACTTTTCAATTTCGAGATCGAATAAACCAGAACCTCAAACCGATCAGCAGGAAATTTCGTAGAGTTTCTAGTAGAGTCTGCAGATTCTAGTAGAGTCTGCAGAAGAGATCTCTTCAAATATCCAAAAAGAAACTGATGACTTGGAGGGAAAAATTCTAACTGTTGTTCCTGTTCGATTTCAAGAAAAAGCTAGAGATATGTATCAATTCTTAAAAAATAATGAATCTCTCCTTTGGAACACTAAAGGTAAAATTATTCATGAAGATAAATCTGTTCCTGGAAGTAATATAGTAAATCTTATAAGTTACTTTTTGTGAAATAGAAAATCAGCTCCAGTGGGGAGAAATGTATTTTTTAAAACATTAAATGATGTTCAATTACCAGCACATTTAGGTTTAAATAAAAAATTGCATAGTAAAAATAAAATTATTAAGAAACCTATGATGTATGCTCGTAGAAAGTGCTTGGATGAAACTTTGAATAAAGTGTTAGGTTATTAAAATATATTTTGTCTTTATTGATCATTTTCAGGTAAAAAAGTTTATATTATCAAGAAAAAAATTACACCCTTTAACAATTAATACAAAAAGTTTCAGAAAAATATATAGAATTTTCTAAAAAACTAGAAATTTTTTGCAAAATAAAAAAATTTTCTTTAAGATAGGAATTTTTTTACAAAATAAAAATATTTTTTTAAATATTTTGTTTCCCTCAATAATAAAAATATTTTCTGAAAAAACTAGGAAATTTTGTTAAAAGGTTTGAAATATTTTTACAAAACTAGTAGATTTTTTACAAAACGAAAAATATTTTCTTATAAAAAATTTTATAAAAATAAAAATTATTTTCTGAAAAATTATTACACTTCCCACAGTAAAAATATTTTCCGAAAAAGTAAAAAATTTGCTAAAAAATTTGAAACATGTTTACAAAAGTAAAAATATTTTCTGAAAAACTAGAAAATTTTGTTAAAAAGAAATAAAAATATTACAATGTTTCCTGCATAACAATATTTAAATGTAAAATTTTATAATAATGACATGAAAGACACTAAAATTAGTTTCATTCTTTTTTTTTATTTTCTAAGCACAAATCTTAAACCATATTACTTCTTTACAAATTGATTCATCTGAAAATCATTTACATATAATTGATTTGAAATATGATACATAGAATAGCCTTGACAGCGTTTGAGTAAAAAATAATACAATATATTGTCCACATACATTGGATGTAGGTGATTGAAACACTTTGGAATTCCATAGTAAGTCCGCGTATTCACGTTGTAAAATCCGGGAGGCTTCCCATATGAGTCATAAGACTCTGTCTTCGATCATTAACAAATAACGCTAGCCAGTGAGTCCTAGGTTGTGATGAGTCAGCTGAATTCGTGATAGCACATGTGTTTTCTTGGAGATCCGGAGACGTATCTCTTGAATATACATCTTGAAAGTAAGGTGATGTTATCTTATATTGCGATAAAATGTAGAATAGTTGCAATCCATCCATTCTTCAACTTCCGAAGACGAATAAAATATTTCTTGACTTGTTAATTTCAATCAAATTTTCAAATTCAACAAAAACGATAACGCATACTGTTATTTCCAGTGATTTGGTAAATTTCAGTTCT